ATCCTGAAAAAGTCTGGATATCCGGATCCGTCCCAGCCCTAGTTTATATATTTGGACCATCCCGACCACATTATCACCACCATGTATAGCCAAAGTATATGGTCATTTTTTTCGTTGTAGTTGATTTTGAGTTGAAAAACCGAAATCTAACATGTATTAGAACCCAACAAATCTAAATATGTATAAGATGAAATCATCCACATTGTAATATCTGCAAATAGCCAACTGGTTTATAGATGAATGAAATCAAAGAAGATAAGTATCAATTAGAGTTGGAAGATAAGACATTGATTTTCTCAAAAATATTGTTGAATTTAAAACTTGAAAATGAGTTTTGGTTCCGTTTCCAACAATCTGCAATCGTTGTTATTAAAAGAAAAAAAGAATTTAACTGCTATGGTGGAAGAAGAGAAGCTAGAGATTAAAGAGAGAGTAGAGGAGAAAAATGATAAACTACTTTGCAAGTCATATTTTACATGAAACCTAAGATCTTTAAACATCTAGAATAATCACATAACATAATCTATGAGGAGGATTATCGGATTACCTCCGATCTTCCTGAATGATATCCTGATGGAAGACGGAAAACTTGATATCTGAAGTAGGAATTAGGTTTCTCTCCCCTTGCCTATAAACTTATATTTAGGTGTTGTGTATTCGAATATTAGGATGCCTTTATGATGGGCTAAAAGCACATATTTATAGGTGGAGAGAGGACCAAATTTCTCATTAGAGTTTCCTTAGAAATTAATCTCAACCGTCCATCAAAATAGAGATTATTAGGAATTAACTCCATTATTTCTATTTAATTGGACACCAAATATATTATTGAATAACATTATTATTCCAATAAGACCACAAAATAGGAAAATGAAATATAATAATATATTCCTAACATACTTGGGATGTCTCTTTATATTGTTTTGTTAGATTCTTAATTTGTCTCCAAAGATGCTACTGATGTCAATTTCCGAATCTATAGTGGTAAAGGCAGAGATGTTGAAGTCTTCTTGTGGATTCGCGAAATCTTCGCCTTCGGTTCTGTCTGGAAAGTATCTTCTTTCATCAAACGAGTAGCTCATGCAAGATGTACTGTTAAAAGGCATCTTGGAGAAATACACCTTGTTCCTCGTCGTCCCAGTAAGCTCGGGCTTGAACACGCACGAAGCAGGGCTCGCAAAGATCGTTGAGCCTTTTAACGTGTGCTTCTCTGCCCAAATCAACGGCGACCGGTTAAGTCTAAATACAACTGGCTTCCTAGAAGACGCCGCATCTATGAGAAAAATGTGTCCTTTGTGTTCAGCCACGTACCAAGCTCCTTCCAAGAAATGGTGCATTCTAGGACGTAATACAATAAGAACCCTCCAGTAACGAGCAGATGGGTCGAAAACCCCAATCTTATCTCTGTTAGTGAGACAGTAAAAGAGACCATCAGAGAAGACAATGTTTCTCCATTGACCATTAGATAAATAAAGCTGGTTCTTGAAGCTCTCTGTCACCCATTCCATTGCACCGGGAGACCAAGTGCTGATGGAGTCATGATGTGGTAGTAAATGGATACAAATGGAAAACACCACACAAGTGCTCATTGTAGGAGCACAAGAGAAAGCAAACTTATGGTCAGGCTTCCCAAATCTAGGCAAGTTTATGAGGTCCCGAGTGAACGGGTTAAAGAAATACATGTCGTAGTCACTTGAATGAAGATTGTTCATTAGTAACCAACCATCTTT